AATCAAGTGAGTCCGTAGCAGAGTTCGAATTTCTCTTTGTCCCATTCCCATCCCGTTCTCCTCTTTCTCTTTGTTTATACCTGATAGAGGTTGGCAGTTCAAAGGGTTTGCAACATATGATCTCCGACCAGAATGAATCACTCTGCTCTCCGCGATCGGATATTAGCGGCGGTGGCAGTGCTGGCTCTGTCATCTCCGTGGCATCCGGCAAGACAGGTGATAGCGAACCTACTTGCGGCACACGAAGCGTGTTACGGGATGTTTTGGACGGGGTAGTTGAACCGGATCTGTTGGACAGCTGTGTAGAAGATCTACAGATTCTCACAGAACACTCCGGTGATCGGATGTGTGAATTGCTCAGTCGAGCTGAGGAGTTGCGTAATTTGCGTGAGACTGAAGTGGAGGCGAAAGCGGTCGATGAAAAAGTGATGGATGCGATTGCCGCCTCTTCGAAAGCAAAAGAGACCAGTTCCATATGTAAGTTATCCTCTCTCTCTTTTCGTTTTGATGCTCGTTAGAGTGATCACTCGCAAGTATTCCCTATCGTTCATGCGAAGAAAACACGGGGATACGGTACTGGTTACCGATCATCAGTTGTGTTTCTGATATTCTTTTGCGTAATTGGTGTGTGCAATAACAGAACCGAATGCAGAGCTTGTTACTGAAATGACGTATCGTCTCATCAAGTCACCTTTGAAAATTTTTACTTTTTTATTGGTGTGATTCGGCTTCAGTTCAGTTTGCATAATCCTGAACCTTACACTGTCGTGCGACGGTTTTAGTTGTCCCACGAATACCCATCTGTTCGATCACTGAGGGTGGGGTAAATCGAAGAGTTAAAATGCTAAGGAACAATCAAGCCAAAAATACATGACGCAAGTAGACTAAATTTGGGAAAAGTGAGTGCCATTGAGTAGGACACTCGGCCATATCATCTGGTATCTCTAACAATTGATTGGATCTGTCACGAAATCCTCAACCAGGAAGCCTAATGTGACCTATATGGGCGATCAAAGACCCTCATGCCCTTGTGTCAGGACTCCATTTGATAACGCTTGATCTTCTTCCAATACTGTATTCCTCGGGAAACGTTGCCTTTCGAGGAAGCCGCCACTGGCTCTTCGGAAGTTTCTCCCTAATTTGTAATGTTAGCCGATCCTGCTATCCACCGGAGATCAGACTGCACTATTCAAGGCTCAAAAGCAACACCAACAAATGTTATTCACCGTATTATGTAAATTTTCTTCAAATTTCAGGCAGCACTAAAATCTTACATATATATATATATATATATATATATATATATATATATCACATCTGAGTTCACACCGT